AGTTCTTGGCACTTTGCTAGTAAATTGTCTGGTGAATTTTTTCTATTTCTTTGGCATTTTGCAAGTATACTTTGGCAATTTTTCTGGTTCTTCAGCTTTTTGGTAAGTTGTTTTGTTATATTTCTTTTGGTTCTTTGGTCATTCCTTGATAATATTTCTTCTTGGCCTTCAATATTTTGTAAATAAATTTGTCTTGTAATACTTTTAATTATTTCTCGTTTTTTAGCATTTTTTAGTAAATTTCTTTTTATAGTTTAAATTTGTTTATTACACATATTAAGTATTAAATTTAAATTTAATACTACCAATAAAAGATGTTTTTGTTATATTTACTTCAAGTTTTTGGAAGCTTTTTTGCTCATTCAAAATCTTTAATGTCATTTACTATTTTCTGAATAGGTTTAAGGTTCAATTCAATACTTTGATGCTATTTTTTTTGTTTGGAAAAATTATTGAACTTTTTAAAACAATTAAGTGTCTAAAATATAAAATTAATAAATATATTTATTTAAATACAGAAATATAATGATATATAAAAAAAAATCCTTTTATACTTCATGAAGAGTTTTTTTAATATATATATTAGCAATATTAAAGAAAAAAAGGTTTCAATTATATAAAACTTATATAATTGAAGTTTTATTTTCTCTTGAAAAGATTTCTTGCTTTACGGAAATTATTTCACCAATAGCTTATTCAGTTGATATTATATATTAGAGGTTTTAAAATTCACCGCCCAAATTTTTTTTAGATCATATAATATAATCATCCAAAGTAAAGCAAAGCAAAAATTAATTAAATTATTACTGTATTTATTTGCACTTTATGTATGAATTATACATATTTCAAATAAATAACTTTATATAATTTGAAAAAAATTTGGATAATGAATTTACCTAATTTGTGTAATGTTGTAATTGTTAGTAAAGTAAAAGGAATCACTAATTACAATGCAATTAAAATTCTTCTTATAAGACCTGAGCAAATGCTCTAAATTAGATTTTATTATATAAAAAATTAAATATATAATTGTTATTCAAAATAGAGTCAAAAACACTTTTTTCCACAAAAATCCAAAATTTTTAAAAAATACAAGCATTTGTAAAGGTAGAAACAGTCTAGGAAGTAATCCTTAAGCTCCGTAACTTGGCAGTTATTATTTAGAGGTAGTTCTCATATGCTACCTGCTAACTTCTTTAGAGTTTATCACTCACTGTGGGGCTGGGCACTTGTCATTTAGAAATAGTTCTTATATACTATTTGCCAACAGGCCCAGAGTTTATCACTTATCTGAAAAAATAAGAAGAGTACTAGCACCTTCCTATGGATTCAGTGTATTGAGTAAAGAAAATATACACTCTTTTATTAAACAAAACAAAGTAGTTTCGTTTCTTTTCTCTGCCTCCTCGCCACTCTTCCAAAACTTCTCACAAAAGTGGGCAAAACAGCTTATACTTTCCAAAAGATTGGCATTGTTTACACCTCCCAAATCTGGACAGTTCTGACAGACTGCGATCACGTGTCTAGTTTGTTTTGTTTATAGACCGTGCTGCTTCATATAATACTGAGATTGGCCACTTACATCGTTTAGGAGTCTGGATGATTTAGTTAGAAAATTTATTTGATAAGGCGAAGCCTTACACTAGAGATATACAAATATCGTATTTGTTATATAATTTTTTTTAGTCTAGTATGAGTAATAGTAGTGCTAAAAAGACAGAATTTTTTGCTATCCTTTTTTTTGTAATTTTTTCTTTTATATTCCTTTTTGTATTTGTTTTCTTTTTCTATATTCTTTGTTTTTTCTTTTTCTCTTTTGTTTTTGTCATTTTTATTTTATTTGTGTTTTTTGTTTTATTACCCCATTTGTTGTATACCCCTTTGAAAAAGAAAAAATGTTAAGAAAAAGGCAATTTTGACAAAGCTAGCAATAAGCTTTTTGTGATTTTTTCGAGAAGTCATCTAGTAAGTTCAATGTCAGAGAGAAGTAAATTATTGCTGTGGCAGATCGCACTTGGGCACTATTATGAGCAGCCAAGTGAGTTTTTATTGAAGAGTAGAAGGGTAGAAGGCATTGAGTTTATTGTTTGAAAACCATATATTTAGAGTATGCACTCCTAATACAATAAAGGCAAGATTGCCAAATTTAAAAAAAAAATATATATATAGTCATATAAAATAATACAAATACTTTTATAGAAGTTTATATTAAATTTTTATAATTTAAAAAATAAATTACATAGCTGTTTATTTTTATATTTAGATATAACTGTTATCCTCTTGGGTTAATGAGCAGGTCAGTTCTCAATCTGCATCTTTATGAACTAAGTTGGTGATAAAAGATAAGTTAACTTTCTTCTAGAGCTAAGATATTAAATTAAATATTCATTACTTGGCTAATTTAAATAATAAATTGACAAATAGTAAAGAAAAAACCAAGTAATAAAAAGAAACCACCTAATATATATGTATTTTTTTTACATGTTTGCTAATTTTAATTAAAGAATATACTAGTAAATAGTTGACTGGCCCAAGCTTTTTTTCAGTCAAGATTTTTTTATTATATCCCATATATATGTCTAGTATATAGAATTGCTAATCAGCCAATCACATTTATAATTGATGATCATTAATATATAAGTATTTTTTTTTTTAGTTTTAGATTGTCTTGCTAGTATCATCATTATTTGAAGCTATCACTTGAATTTGGTGTTGTTATTACTGGAACTGTTATTTAAAATTGGAGTTCTTACTTTAGCTTTGTTGTTGGTGCATTGGGTGAATTGACATTTTGGCTTTGTCATTGGTGCCCTGGTGAGTTGTTAAAGGACCCCCAAAATATATATAGACAGGTTAAGTTTTAGTTTGCTTATTTTTGATCCTTTTTGTACAGATTATTTTCATTTATAGTAATTAGTTTGCTTATTTTTAACCTTTTCTTGCAGATCTTTCTAAATTTAGTAATTTTTGTAAAACCTTACCCCTCTATATATATTTCAGGGACCTGTTGCTTGTATTTTGATAAGTTGTATATTGTTATTTCAGCTTTGTCATTTATATCTTAGTAAATCATCAGTTTAGTTTTATCATTAGTACCTTGATAAATCATTGTTTTGGCTTTATTATTGGTACTTTGGTGAATCGTTATTCTTTCTTTTTGCAAGTTTAGTTTGCAGTTCCTGGTAAGGTTTTTCACTATTGCTAATACTATCAATAGACATCATAGTCTTGCATATACAGTTCGCTCTTGTTATAGCGGACCCCATTAAACCAGATCTTTCACTATAATAGTGTATAGGCCATTTCATCACTTTTGATACATCATATATGTATAATATATGTTAATATAATTTATAATTAATATCTAATTAATTAGTGTAAAAAGAAAGCCATACTTATGGGAAAAAAAATATATCAATATAAAGTCATATATATATATATACTATGAACTGGCTATATACTCTATTTTATCAATTTACAAAATTATAAAGAACAAAAATTTCGATAAAGATTCATTGAATTAAATTCAAAAGTTAATGATAAAATATTTTATATATCTTAATCAAAATTTTATACTACATATTTTCAACCATGGAGAACACTTTGCTTAATGATTTAAGTAAGGTAAGCAACTAGGATCTTTTAATATTTGAGATTAAACTTTTATTAAAATTTTTTTAAAATCGTAAAAATTTTTTTGATTCACAATTAAACTAAAAAACGTATTAGTAAAAAGTTCACCAATTTTTATGAAAATTGGAATGTATATGCAAAATATTTCCAGAAATATTTTTATTTATTACAAAAATAATGATTTATATAATAAAAAAAAAACTTTTATATATAGCGATTTCACCGCACAAACTATAGACGATCATCAAAATCTTCACCTTTTGAGCGAAAATCATTAAAATTTTCATCACCTGAGCAAAGATCCAAACTTTCATTGTCACTATCATTACTCTCATCATTTATTTCATCTTCAATTGTTTCCCAATAATCTCTTGCTTTATCCAAACATTTTCTCTAGCATGAAACCACAATCTCTGTTTTGATTTCCTCATAGAAAGAATGAAGTAAGGAATTTCAAAGAGAAAGAATATTTAGATGCTGTCGTTTTCCTGCAACTTTATTTTTTACAGCTCCCCATACCAATTCAATTGGTTGCAGTTTACAATAGTATAGGGGTGTAAAAAGTAGTCGGTGACTAGAATCCTTTGCAATAGTAATAGTGGCGAAAGAAATAGATGGTTTCTTTTTTTTTGCTAATTCATATAATTCTGCTTTTGTCATATCTGCATCAGATTCAATACTGTGGGCTTCTAACCACTCTTTTATTGCAGGTTTTGTCCAGTTAGAGGTTGGTGCAGCTTCAGCACGATGTTTGTGATATCTTGCTCTATCCATATGAATAACACATAGTCCATAATTAATAGCAAGATTTTTACAAAGCCTCTTAAAAATTTTTTTAAACACCTCTGAATTAAAATTTCCATGATAATCCACTTTATTTGGAACAATACTAGCCGCTTTTACCTTATCTGGAACTGCCTCCCATGCTTCTACATTTTTTTTCTTTCTTCCCTTTCCAGTTGGTGGTTTTGCAGTAGGGTTCCAAATATGAATAGATTCACGAACAATCTTTCCCTTTACCTGATTGGTATTTCTATTACGGAAAATTATAATAGCTCCAAAAATAATTAATATATAACTCCTTCCACTTTCATAAACCACACCATCTTTTGGAACCCAGGTTAATTTAGAATTGTGGTGCAGATGGCAATATGATTCATCAAGAAAAACTTCTGAAAGAGTTGGTATGTTATTTTTTTCCTTAGATATTTTCAAATCGCCAACGAAGATATTGTGCCTGATATGCAATATTTTGAGGGGTCTTATGAAGAATATTTTGTCGCTCTCTCTTGCTATAATGATATCCAAGCTTTTTAAGTAACGCAAAAGTTGTTCTTTTGAAATTATAAAGCCTGATTTAGTTAATTTTATGATAAGGGCTCTAAGGGAAAGAGGAAGACCACTTTTACCTGCAGAATTAATTAGATCATGGATTTTATCTACATATTCTGTTTAAAAATATTTGGGATCCCGATGACCTTGTTTTGATAGTGCAACCTTTCCAGTCTCATTAAATTCAGCAACTACACGAGCAATGGTTGCTTCACCAACTCCTGTTACCAAAGAAACTTCCTTACGAAGATTGGTGGCTTCATTTGTCTGTTGTTTGAGCATATTTTTTTGAAGATAAGAGTAAACAGATAAGATTATTATTTTTTTGTTAGCAGTTAGGGCAATTTGAGTACATTTGATTTGAGCCATAATAAATTGAATAATTGAAATGATAAAAAGTTTTTAAAAAAAGGGTGTATGCTTAAGTTAGAGAAGTAAATGAATTTATTATACATGTATATAGAGTATATGCATATGTATATGCAAACACTACAGCTTGCATTGTTTCTTTCAAGATTATATTATTTCGTCTAAATAAAAAAAATAAATCAGGATTTATCGGTCAGCACTTCGCGAAATGAGTAGAATTTAAATACACCAAAAAAATATATATTTTGTTCTATGTAACCCTTTTTAATACTCGATTAAAATTATTATTTCAGTTCTTACTATTCTAAAAAAGGTAAGATAATTAAATTTGGCCTAGTAGGTCATTTGCAATAGTACATCAAACTTTAGGCGATATTTCAATATGATCTTTTAACTTTGCAGATCATTTAGATCGTGTAAACAAAAATCGAAAAAAAAATTAGACAACTTTGAAGATCAATTGTGAATGACCTACCAGACCAAATTTAACAATCAAGACGTTGTTAAAACCACACAATCCAGAAGAATAATTTTAATTATAGCTTTATAGAAAGTTTGTATATTAATAAAAATTTATTTTGGCCAATTTTAAGTTTTTTTTTAGTTATATGATAGCAGTATTTTTTCGAGTTGTTCAAGTTTACTAGAATTTTTAGGCAAAAAAAATTTAAATTTGAACTGCTTTCACAATGGCTTTTGATTCTATGTGACCAGAAATACTTAATTCTAATAAAAAAAAATTAGATTCATTTGACCTTTTTGTCAATATCTTTGATAAAATTACGGCTATTAATTATTATTATTGCTAATTAAAGAAATTGATGGTCATGTTTCTGTATATATGTTGCACCATTTTATCTAAACAATAAGGCAAATTACCGGGCATAATTTCACCTATCCCTTAAACTGTAGAGTTTGTGTAACAATTTTAGCTTAAAAATGGCATAAATTTAGTTATGATTTATTTTTTTT